GATGTGATGCTATGTGTCGCTCTGGCAACGGGGCTGTTTGGAGTCCCGTTGCCAGGGCGACGCGTAGCGTCACATCCTGGCGACGCCGGTGCAACGCGGATTGCTGTCCCCTCGCGGCAGCGATCCTGTGACGACGCACGGATCCCCCGCCGCGGTTTGGCAGCCCGAATCCTTAAACAGGGGTACACAAAGTCCCATCAAGTTGCAGCTGACTTACGGCAAACCGGTAGAGTTTTCAAGGCAAGAAAGGAACAGTGGTGGCTTGCCGTTTCCTGCCGTTGAGTAGCAAGCCACACTGGACTTCCTTGTTGGTCCCCCACCCAATTTGGCAGCCCGAATCCTTAAACAGGGGTACACAAAGTCCCATCAAGTTGCAGCTGACTTACGGCAAACCGGTAGAGTTTTCAAGGCAAGAAAGGAACAGTGGTGGCTTGCCGTTTCCTGCCGTTGAGTAGCAAGCCACACTGGACTTCCTTGTTGGTCCCCCACCCAAGTACTAACCAGGGACGAGCCTGCTTATCTGGCAAGACCAGCCTAGCATGGGCCATCCCAACACGGGCTGTAGAATGCTAAGCGTCATGAATCACTTCAGAGACAAAAGCAAACGTACTTCAGTAGACTTTTGTTGGAATTATTTAATAGTTGAAATCATGCTTCTCCTTCTTCTTAAGTGGCTTAACGCAATCACCAAGAGAGAGCCAGAATGACGTTAGAATGTTCCCCTGGGACCAGGCAGTCCATGGCTTCAAATCCCTTCTCAGCCATGAAGCTTACTAGGTAACCTTGGGTCAGCCATTCCCTATCAGCATAAACTACCTTCCAGGGGTTGTCCCGAAGATAAGATGGAGAAGGAGAGAAACTTGATCTCTGAACTCTTTGGAGGAAGGTCAGGGTAAATGGGTAATTCCGGCAAACAGCCAAAGCATTCATTGCTGAGAAAGAATCAGGAAGTCTTCTATAAAAGTCTTGTATTATCAGTCTTTGAGAACTTTGTGAGAGTGTCAGGAAGGATGTAGAAGGGTGATCTGGTGGACACCTAGTGATTCCAAGAATCAAGTTGACAGGTCCTCTTAACTTCTCATTGGTTGCTTTTTTAAAAAAAACCCAAATCCCCAGGATCCTATCTTCATAAATATATCAGCTGTAACTACCCAGGAAAGTGATTTTGAAGTCATAATGGAAAGTTCACCTCCGCATGTTAAAGCACCATATAAAAGGCAAATTCATTGTTCGCCAATATCTCCTTTGCCTATAGAGCTCCAATGCTTTCATACTATTCAAGCTTTGCATTGATTGGTTATGAATAGGGTAAAGAAAGACCTTTAAGGGTATTATGTGTCACAGTCAAAATTAGTGAAACTGAGGGGCAGGCTTATTTCAAGAAATAATTAAAAGACCTCCGTCCTCCCAGGAGCCCATCAATGCTTCTGTCCCTCTTCCCCTCTCCCATGCTCGCGCACACACCATGGAAGCGGAAAACGGAAGCTTTCAGGTCAACCTCCCGTCAGATAGCTTTTCACGGGGAGCCAATTTTATTCTCTTTTTATGTCAGTCAGACTCTAATGGGAGGAAGAGTATGAAATAAATCCGGAAGGCTGGAGCGGGACGACGGGAAAACCACGGTTATATTGGCAATTAAGGGTCCCCCAGGAGGTTAATTAACCACATTAAGAGGCAACTGTTTCACAAAACGCTAAGCCAGTGTCATAAAAGGAACGCTTCCCTTCCAGACAACTTTGTGCCGAACTGTCAACAGTATGTTTGTTTTTGGCATGGTGGAACATACTGCCAAACAGGCAAAACGTTAATGCATTATTAACATCTGAGAATGGCCTATCAGGGCCTCTAATCTTTTGCACCTGCCGGTCTATAATTTGGCTTCTTCTAGTCTAGAAGATCCCAAAGCAGTCGGACACTAAATCATTCTCCCTGATTGCCCACTGGTTCACACAGCCTGCTGTGGCAGGGTTTTGCGTTTCTCTTCATCCTATTACTGCAAAATGCGAGGTACTGGTTTCCCTATTAGAGCAACATGAGTCAACCTCACTCAGCTAAAGCCTAAACGGTAATAAATTATTTCCTCGTCCATTCCTTCTCCATTAAAATATATGACACTTTTTTATTTTAAGGAGAACTCGGTCTGTTTTGTTCTGTTTGTGCGCCCAAGGCAGTAAAAAAGTTACAGGCCCCCAAACTTCTCATTAGCGCACACATTTCCACTCCAAGTTAATTTCAGTTGGCTGCTTTTCTTCGGCAGTGAAAATGGTACCATTAAGGCAAGATGGCGCAGATTTATTGAGCCGTGGGACGTAGCACAGCCCACTTTCCTCTCCTTCAGCCCCATCTGCACTTTGCTCGTCAGAAGCAGAAAGATCACTGAAGGATATTTTGGTTTAAGGGGGATTCAAAGTGAATTGGAGAGTTCTTCCTTAAATGAAACATTTGAAGAACTTCAAGGGAAGTGGGATGTTTTGGGGGAATGATAGAAGCGTTTCTTCAGGGATGCTGAATGACCATCTCGAGAATGTTAGCTGACTTTGATAAAACCAGAACGTGAAGTGAATTGAGAGGGCACTCAGCAGAGATGGATAACTAGGGTACTCTTCGAAAAATGCATTTAATGTGGCCAATTTATTTTTGTTGCTGATTTCGAAACTGTATGTGTGTTAAGTACCGTCAAGTTGCCTCCAACTTATGGTGACACTATGAATTAATGACCTCCAAAAAGTCCTCTCGTCTACAGCCTGGCTCAGGTCTTGCAAACTGAGGGCCGTGGCTTCCTTTACAGAGTCAATCTGTCTCATTTTGGGTCTCCCTAATTATTGCTATAAAATTGCCTTTCAGAGCAGATTTCTTCTCTCATCTTACCTCAAGAAAATGTTCTGCCTGCTGTTCTCGATCCAATTTTCTTGACGTCGTGGTTATGAGACCTGTAAGAAAGAAAAGAATGTTTGCATTTCAGTTAACTGTCAGACAAGTACAAGGTCTCCTATGGGTCGTATGAAGGAAAGCTGAAAAGGAAAAATTAAGTGGTACATGAATCATACACAGAGTTCTTGTTCTCCTTTAAACAATGACAGCAGTAAGATGTAAAAGGTCTTGCAGTTATCCACTGCAGTGGGGGGGAGATAAAGCCCCCACCATTAAGGTTTCCAGTCCTCACATCTCAGTGGGGGCTCCCCCAACTTTTGAGGCTTCTGCCTGCCACTGACCAGCTGGCCAGTGGGAGAAACCCCACCCCCAAACAGCCATGTCCCTGACGTGATGACATCAAGTGATGTCATCACATCGGTGATGCTGTGGGGAATGCTCTGTTTTGAGGGCAAAACTCTGTGGTAAATTTGCCCTCAAACCATAGAGTTTTGTCCTCAAAACAGTGTTGCTGCGTGATGTCATCACAACAGGATGTCGTGCGACGTCCCCTCGCCCCCAGGAACGCCCCCCAACACCCCCCCCCGCTGGTGACAAGGTAGGACCTGGCAACCTTACCTAACATAAAAAAAGCAAAATTATATGTGATTTGTACAGTTAAAATGCATTTGGATGCAATCTTCCAATAGGGATTACATCAGAATGTGGGGAGCGAGGTCCCAGTCCATTACATGAAGTTAACCACTTGCTCCAATGTAACTCCAAAGGCCAAACTTCCTAACTGTAAGAGTGGTTGAGCAGTGGAACAGACTGCCTCGGGAGGTGGTGGATGCTCCTTCGCTGGATGTTTTCAAGTGGAGGCTAGACGACCACCTTTCGGGTATGTTGTAGGCAGGGGTCGTTTCGTAGAAAAAGAGCTAGGGGAACTCATTAGCATAACTCATTAGCATATGCCACACCCCCTGACATCACTGGAAGTATGTCATGAGGCCACACCCCCTGAATGCGCTCGCCCGCTTCGGGAGAGGGGATCAAAGTGTAATACAAGCCTCCTCCGAGACTTGATCACACCAATCTCAACTCTCTCTTGGGTCTTGATGCCTGCCAGTCATTCCCCCTGCCTGGGGGAAGCCGCGTTGGACCAAAATACAGTCCAAACTGCTGTAAGGAACCTGAGCACTTACAGGGTGCATCAAATCGCCATTTTACCCCGACCGGAAGCAGGGGGCGGGGCTTTGTCGTTTCCCCCGCCCCCCGCACCTCACCCGGGGGAACTGCGATCCCCCGCAATGACCCCTGGTTGTAGGGCTATCTTTCAGCTATACTCCTGCAGAGTGCAGGAGGTTGGACTAGATGACCTGCAAGATCCCTTCCAACTCTAACATTCTATGATTCTATGATCTGTGTTTCCACAGAACACACTACAGAAGTCTTGCTCAGTAGATCCAAGGCTGGCTTGGAGAGCCCATGAGTATTGCCTTTTGTTCCTTGGTATAGTTACAGGTGGGATGTACGTTAAGATGCCCACCAGGTACTCTGCTCCTTCGCTTGGATTTTGTAGCCCAAATACAAAGGAAAGACAATTATGACCTGTACATTTAAAGAATAAATAAATCTTGATATCTTTTCCTTTAACGACTGTCCTTCTACTAATGCATGGCCTCAGTGCAGTCCTTAAACAAAGAACCTAATACGCTAAAGAGAGTCTCCTTGATTTGTAGTCCTGACTGACTCATTAAAGCAATTTTAACTTTCATTTTTCCTTTAACTGCAATTAGAGAGGTCAAACCAAAGCATGCTTCTGTCTTTCACAACACGTTGCGATGAGCAGAAAAATCTACTACTTTCTGTCTTAACTGCTGGCAGTGAGTGGCATCCAAAGACTTGGTTTCTTCCTTAATTGGGGGTGTATCTTAACTTTCTGCCACATTCAGAGTTTACATTTTCAGGTGTACACTTTAAAAACATCAATTGTGGTCCAGGCATAACGCCAAAAGCACTTGCTACATGAACAAGTCCTGGGTTAGGGTTGCCAACCTCAAGGTGGGGCCTGAAGACCTCCCAGAATTCCTCCCTTGGAGGAAATGGCTGCTTTGGAGGATGGACTCTGCCACATTCTAAAACCCCCCTCCAGGTTCTTGCTGCCTTCTACGGAGCCATCAAGGTCAATATTGTCTACTTTGACCAACAGTGGTTCTCCGGGGTCTTAGGCTGAGGTCTTTCACATCACCTACTAGAAGATCCTCTTCATGGGAGATGACAGAGACTGGAGCTAAGAGCCAGTTTGGTGCAGTGGTTAAGAGCACGGACTCTAATCTGGGAGAACTGGGTTTGATTCCCCACTCCTCCACATGCAGCTGCTGGTGTGGCCTTGGGTCAGTCATAAATTCTTTCAGAGCTGTTATCTCATGGGTAGTTCTCAAGAATGCTCTCTCAGCCCCACCTACCTGACAGGGTGTCTGTTGTGGGGAGGGGAAGGAGATTGTAAGCCATTCTGAGACTCCAAGTAAAGGGCGGGGTATAAATCCAATCTCCTCCTCCTCCTCCTCCTCCTCCTGCACGGAAAGCAGATAATCTGCCACTGAACCACTGTGCTTCACTAATAAGAGTCTGTCCCTCCCTTACTCCCCTGATTTGTTCAGACTCAACCGGCAACTTCTGATTTCATACAAATCGTGGCCTACCATTTCTGTTCATCATGGATTACAATCTCTGCTGGAGGATGCTCCTTCCCTTTTACAGGCCTTGGATCCTTGCAAACACAATCCACTCCCCAGGCTGAAGAATCTACTGTTCCCAATGAAGACAGAAACCCAAGGACTACCCCCCACAACAAACCTCGATGCCACCTCCGTCCATCGTCTCCAGATAAAGGATCTCAGAGGTTTGAAGAAGAAGAAGAAGAAGAAGAAGAAGAAGAAGAAGAAGAAGAGATTCACTCAGAGTCTTACAACCTCCTTTCCCTTCCCCTCCCCACCACAAACACCCTGTGAGGTAGGTGAGGCTGAGAGAGCTCTGATAGAACTGCTCATGAGAGAACAGCTCTGATAGAACTATGGCTTGCCCAAAGTCATCTGGCAGCTGCAAGTGGAGGAGTGGAGAATCAAACCCCACTTCTCCCTTATTAGAGTTCGTGCACTTAACCAGTACACCAAAGTGGGAAGATTACAAGAGGGGGGCAGGGAGTGGGAGTGCCGGCAGAGAGTGCCCTTACCTCTGGCCTTACTCCTCCTCCTATAATTCCCCCCTGAAGTAGGACTCCCAAGTCTGATTTCCTTTCACATGTCTGGCGAAGCGAACTGTGACTCACCAAAGTTCGTATATAATTAAATGTTGTTAATCTTTAAAGACCTGTCACAGGACATGTTTAATTTCACTTTCCCAGACACCTGTCTGAGAAGGTGCAGACCTGCTAATTCACATATGCAAGCTGTTGTCTGATGACACTGTCAATCCAACGTGAGTCCATGCTGCCAAACCTACTATCCATTGTACAGCACTTCTAACTTCAGGGTTGGAGTCTATGACCTTCAGTCGGTCAACTTAATATAATAATAACATATTTCTATCTCACTCTTCCTCCAGGGAACTGCTCAACACAGAATACACGGTTCTCCCCACCTCATTTTTACCTTCACAACGACCCTCTGGGGTGGGTTAAGCTGGGAAATAGGCCAAGGTCAACCAGGGTGTTTCATGGCCGAGTGGGCATTTGAACCTGGGCCCTCCTCTGACACCCCAGCTAAGGGTTCCCTAACATGGTGCCTGGGGGCGCCGTGGCACCTGCGGACACCATTCCTGGATGGGGCTGGGTTAGGTGGAGCTTCTGATCACCCATTGGAAGGCTTGTGAAAGGGCCACTGCAGATCTGATTGGTAGTGTACATTTTAAAAAAACTTGCTTTGGCAGCAGCTTCCACCACAGCTTGAGGATCTGCACCGTATGACTGTAGATAAGCTGTGCGTATGCACAAAAAAAACTGTTTACACAGCACATTCATTTAAAAAGAGCCTCTACTTGAAATGCTGCAGAGTTTCTATTAGAGTTATGCATGACCTACAGATTTTTGTGGTTGTCTCCGCCTCTTGTGGCAGCCATTTTGTAGTTGACTCCGCCTCCCGTGGCAGCCGTTTTGTGGCTGTGCCCATCACCCAGCATCAGAATTCCAAAGGTGCCCGCAGGCTCCAAAAAGGTTGGGGACCCCTGCCTCAGTTATGATTCGATATAGCTTCAGATTGCTCATTCAACTAAAAATCAGTTGATAGCGTTACACGTTACTCAGTTCTGTTCTTTTTAAAAAAACGATAAACAGCATTTCCTTCTTGTTTAAAGGAGACTCGTGATCAAAACCTGAAAAAAAGTCTCCTCTAGCCTAATACATCAGAAGTCTTTTCAGCTCCACATGCAAGAGTCTCTAGTCTTCCTGACAGCAGGCATGTGGAAAGGAGCCACAATAATACAGAGCAATTTTATTACCTACTGCGAATAAGATGTCTTTTAAACACTAACAGCGTATTCATCTAGCTGGCACAGTGAATTAGAGATTGATATAATGAAACACTAAAAAAAATAAATCACAGAAAATAACTTAAATGTGACTTGGAGATATAAATAAACATATCATTTAATATAATTACCCCTGTAAGCCTGCAGTGTGAAACAGGATGTATTTTTATCTGGGATGAATGGGAATTTGTTAAATATGAAATAATAATAATAATAATTCCAAGGCCAAATGTGCAATTATTTTTAAAACTTGCATTTTTATTCCTTTGTTGTTACTGCTGACAGGACAATGTGAGGGAAATGACCTCTCTCTGAGATAAACGAAAACAGAAATAATGTGGCTTGTTAAAAGGTAGAGTGCTTTCTGTGAAGAGTTTTTATTTTTAAAGGGATTGTTAAACTAGGATAATTATGTTCCATGTATTTCTTCCATACATCCCCCCCCCCCCATCAGATAAGCAGTTTGGCTTTATGGCCAAGATTCTGGTCTAAAACAGGACCTTCTTCGGCCAGAATGATATTTATTTCTAAATTTGGCTGGATTTAACAAAAA